CAACTAAAACAAATAAAATGCAGTATGACAATTAGAATAAAGCAGATGGACTGAAGTGTTAAATTTGGAGATGGATACAACAAAGAATATATTCAAGAGAAAGTTACTTACAATAAAATCATAGTATTTTGGGGGTGGCAAGGGCTTGAGCAATAATACATTGAATTACCAAAGAAATTAACAAGAGCACTTGTACTGCTATCTTCTTGATTCCCATTATTAGAGTAGAAAGAAGGGAAAGTTTGTTGAAACTGAAATTAGGAATAGTACATGTTCGTTCGATTATTGCATTATTGCCTTTTTAGATCTGCTGCGTACATCTAACTTTCCCAGTAGATGCTCCTTTGAGTTGGGAACCAACAGCCATTCTAGTTTCCGCCAACCACAATTCCACAACTAGAAATTTGGCTTTTTTCAACTGATTATTTTCCAATGCAATCTGTACTGCGTTAATCACTGAAAATTAGAATTTGGTATAAAAAATTAAAATTTACAAATAATTTTGAAATGAGGCTCATTTTTTTCCGTGCTTAGTACTAGAAAATAATTTAGCTTTATAATTTGGTTTGGTGTTTTTTTATTTTCTAGCACCCAATTTTAAAAAATAATGTTTTTTGTGTTGTTGTTAATAGCAAAAAATTTCAAAAAAAAAAAAAATTCACTTCTTTTTTTAGCGTAAAATGCTGAAAAATGTTTAAAACAATTAAAGTTAAATGAAATGTAGGTTATTTTTTAGTGCTAAGCATTGAAAAATAATCCTACCCAAATTATACAAGTTATTTTTCAGTATTTAGCATTAAAAAATACTTTTATCCAATTAATTCAGGTTATTTTTTAATACTTAACGTTAGAAAATACTTTTCTTCAATTGATTCAAATTATTTTTTAATACTTTGGCGTTGGAAAATACTCATGTCCAAAAAGGAAGAACGGAAGAAATTGACCCATTTCATTTGGAAGAGGCGGCTTAGATCTGGGGAAGTGGAATGGGGAGCAAGAGAAATAGGAAGGAGCGTCGTCGGCGTTGTTCTGCAGCAAGGAATCATTCGCGCCGTATATCTCTATCAGGGAGGGATCGTCCTCCATTTCTTCTTCGCTCTGTTTCTGATGGTGTAGTCGCCAACCGTAGCAAAATTAAGGGAAGCGAAAAGAGTGTGTAGAGTTTGGGGAAATTTCGCTCCTCTTTCTTAGAGAAAACCCAAACTTTATAAATAGAAGTTAGGGGCTTTGTAACTCTATAGAAGTTAAATGGAGAGGGAACGATCTAAGTCTCATGTTACA